TTATGAATAGTTGTGTTTGATGTAGGTCCATGGCTGTTTTCCACACTAAGCCACTATCCTATCTTTGATGTTGGTTAACCTTCCACTCAGATCAGTATCTGCTGTCCTATGTCTGACCACAGTCAATCTTCACATGATTTTTTTGGAGTGATAAATTCTCTGTGCTACCAATGCAACTTGTCATGTCTTTCAATACCAAGACCAGTTGTCATTCTCCAAGCCTTCACCACTGGGGTCAGCCTTGAGTAGATTGATTTAAAGGTACCAAAAGTGAGTTAAATATGTGGTTGGTCCTGTCTGTTTTTCAATGTCTATCCAGGATTCATGTGAAGCACACCCTTTGATTAGATAGGATAGTGACTTCTCATATGAAAAGACATCACAGATTGCAAGTATAAAAAGCAGCCATGGACCTGACATCAAAAGCAACTATTCATAAGTGGCAGAATGTCAACTCATCCCAATCCTTCAATCATATCCCCAATGACCTATATATATATAGCTAACCACACTACATACTATATGTCAGAAAAGTGGACACAATTAACTTTTGTAATGAAAAAAGCAGACACTTCAAACCATTGTAGTCTCAAAAAGTGGACACTATTAACTTTTATAATGAACAAAGCAGACTCTACAAACCATTGTAGTCTGAAAAAGCAGACACTACTAACTTTTGTAGTCTCAAAAAGCAGACACTACAAACCATTGTAGTCTGAAAAAACAGACACTACTAATTTTTGTAGTCTCAAAAAGCGGACACTATTACTTTTGTAATGAGAAAAGCAGACACTACTAATTTTTGTAGTCTTTGTCTGACCTTTGTGGTCTATGTCCAACTTTTGTAGTCTTTTTTGTAGTCTATTAGTAAACTTTGTAGGCTATAAATTACTTTTGTAGTCTGTCAGTGTCAATTACCCTTTTAGGGCATGTACCTTCCTTTTTGGGAGAAATTTCCCACGATACAATAGTTGTAGCCCCTTCTCTTAGCTTTCTAAATCTGTTGAAATCATGTTGTTTAGTGTTCTTTTCATGAAGAAAAATGCAAAAAACAAAAAAAAAACGTGGCGCTTTTGAAAACCTTTTACCTTATATCTCCACAATGGAAGCACTTTAGGACATAATTCCAACTGATTCTGGAAGCTATGGTAAAGAGCTACAACTTTTGTTTTTTTACCATTTTTGGAAATTTGTCATGTGACCACCCTCCCAATGACCCATTGGATGGACCGTAATAGCTATTTCATTGCTATCATGGAATATAATAAAAAATCATAATGATATCCCTGGGGGCAGATATGAAATTGGAATGAAATATTGAGATACTCAATGAAAAATCCCAATGAAAGCTGTGGAATATTCAATGAAAGTGCACATCATTAATTATGAAAGAAGCAATGAATACATATAACCTAGCTAATGAAATATTTATTGAAATGCACAATGAAAGCACCCAGAATTGATAATGAAATATTCAATGAAAGCGCACAGCATTAATTATGAAAGAGGCAATGAATACACCTGACCTAGGGAATGAGATATTTATTGAAATTGCACAACATTAATTATGAAAAGTACAATGAAAGCATCCAATATTCCTAATGAAATATTCAATGAAAGCGCACACCATTAGATATGATAGAGGCATTGAATACACCTAACATAGTGAATGAAATATTTATTGAAATCACACAGGATTAATTATGAAAAAAGCAATGAAAGTGCCCAAAATTCCTAATGAAATATTCAATGAAAGTGCACACCATTAATTATGAAAAAGGCAATGAATACACCTAACCCAGTGAATGAAATACCTATTGAAAGCACACAGGTTTAATTATGAAAAGCACTCTGTGGCCTTGCCTATATCTTATGAGAAGAACATAGCCTTTATGAGAAAGAAAGACACAGGACACACCTATGAAAGGCCTTTCATAAAACTTGTGGACTTATACACACAGCTCTACAGGCAAGTGCCTTAGTTTTATGATAAAGGTGGTAGCCACTTGTGGCACTCACTAGTTTCAACGCAGATTGGGACGTCAAGTGGACACCTGCCAAACATGGTACTGACAAGCGATCATGGGTACGCTTTCCCAAGCTCAAGGACGACTCCACCAATCCTTCCTTCCAATCCGATTCTCGGGACAAACTCTTGCGCTGGGCGAAGACCAAGGGCCTTCCTGTCTGCAACTCCTTTCTTGGGAAGGGCGGAGTCACTCTCCAGATGGCATCTCCCCACCATGTCGACACTGTAGTCAATGCCAGAACCGTCCTTGTTCCTGGCTTCCCATCCTCGCTTAGAGTCAGGCGTGGTCGGCAGATCGAAATTTACAATGCATTTGAGATTGTAATCATGGGAGTTCCGGACGATTATGAGAATATCGACCAATTGTTGAAAGAATGGATTAGTCGAAACTTCCTCATAGACGGCGAATCGACTCTGGCCGGACACAGGATGTCACCCGATGAGCCCAAGGCGTTTATCTTCCATATGACCACATGGAAAGCGACCAAGGCTGTACTGTCCCCTTCCACTCAGAGACTCTTTGAGCTAGACTTCGCCAAATACCCAACTCTTGTCTATCCCCGAACCGTGCATGAGGTCAACACTACCAGTGTTTGGAAAATACCAGGCAGCATTCGCGGAGACTTTGCGAAAGGCGCTGAGTCTGTCAACGATGCAGTCAAGGCGCTTACAAGACGTATGGACTCAATGGAGGATCGTAATCAGAAACAGCACCAGGCCACGCATCTTCAGCTGTCTATGATCACCAAAGATCTCCAGAACGTCACGCAGGCCGTCTCCAACCTTGATGGTCGTCTTGTCAGCTCCCAGCATGCGATCCTTGCTCAGTCCGCCGAGCTTGGACTCACTCGCAATCTCTCTGACTTACGCACCAACAAAATGACGCTCAAGATG